AATTAGCTCAAATTCTAACCATAGGTATAAGTGGTCCTTGTGCATGGCAATGGCTAAGAATGGGCACTGTTTGCTTCTGGGGTATCCTCTGTTTTTGCTGTGAGCTGCGTGGCAGCTGTGCCTTTCCATGCTTCTCTTCGGAGGCCTGTTTCTGGGTATTTGTTCACCTCAATGGATGCTTAGATTTTCGTTCACCAAATGACACAGAAGTCACTGCATTTGATGTGGTGACCTCAGAAAAAGTGGCCTCCAGGTCTAGTTTATCTAAGTCAGAAACTGTGATTCAGGAAGGCCACTGCAACTGTTACCTGTAGAGAGGCTGGCGGAGGCAAGGACCTGGTTCCTGTGGGAGTATCTGCTTGCTAATATCATTGCTGCACAGGAATGGTTCCTGGAGATGGTAGCACACAGGCCCAGGGAGGAAATGACAGGGATTTGTAACATCACACTGACCTGAAGGAAGGCCCTCACGTACATACATACTTCTTCTCGTTATGTCTTGGATAATCCATGTCCTCTTGAGTATACTGTACCTCCCTAATCCGCTGGGCTGAAAGGCCAAGTGCAGTCAACTGAACCTATGCTCACTTTGAGTGGTTTAGGGAGGAGGCAGTGTATTATGGAAGCATCTCCTTAAAACCTTTGTCTGTATGAAAGGACACACTGAACCAACTGATAAAATCTGCTCCACTAACCAGCGGCAGTGAAGTGAGAGTGAGCATGGTTGGCTTAGATACTGACATTTATCCATCAACCAAATTCAGTGGAAAAAGTATGGGCACTGGAGTTAGCTCTGGATTTCCGATGCTTGCCAGTCCCGCTTCTTTGCTATGTTACCACAGTGCCTTGTTTTTTTTTTTCTGTCTCTCTCTCTTTTTTTTTTTTTTTTTGAGATGAAATCTCGTTCTGTTGCTCAGACTGGAATGCAGTGGTGTGATCTCAGCTCAGCTCACTGCAACTTCCACCTCCCGGGTTCAAGTAGTTCCCCTGCCCCAGCCTCCCAAATAGCTGGGACTACAGGCTTACACCATCACACCCAACTAAGTTTTTTTTTTTTTTTTTTTTTTTTGTATTTTTAGTAGAGATGGGGTTTTACCATGTTAGCCAGGCTGGTCTTGAACTCCTGATCTCACTCGTTTGCCCACGTTGGCCTTCCAAAGTGCTGGGATTACAGGCATGAGCCAGCACGCCTGATCAATGTGTTATCTTTCTATAATGTAATATTGATCTTGAATTATGATGGTTAGTAGTTGAGACAATGCATGTGAAGTGCCTGGTTGGTGACTACAGAAATATAATAATAATAATAAAATGCCGTTACGATTATTTTATTATGTGTCTGTTCTTCCGCCAGATGTTTTGCTGGAGGTGTTAGCAGGAAGGTAACCAGCTTTTAGAGACGTTCCTCTTTGATCTTCTACAGAGGCACAAAACCTTAAAGGCAAGCTGCTATTTTGATTTTGAACAATCTCAGAAAGACCTAGGACTGCACAGATTGTAGAACTGCTATTTAAGCAGAGTATGTTTGGCAGGAGTGTCGCTTCACCCCTAGGTACATTAAATTAAGAGCAGCATCTTGATAACAGCAAAAGATCAGTTCTAGGTCTCCTTTACATAGCAGTTTACCCACAGCTTCTCAGGCATGCGTGTGTGTAATGAAGTCCATGCGCTCTCTATTCAGATTAGACTAGAGATGAGTGGTAAGAGATTTAGAGAGCAGAGTAATTTCAGGTTAGTGTTTGAATTTTGTGTTTGAGAACAGCACACTATTAAATGCTATGAAGTGGCACAGGAAAATGACTTGAACTTTCAGAATGTCCTCTTTCCTCCGTTCTCCCACTTTACCCTGAGATTTTCCATTTGTATTAATTATCTCCACAACTCCTATTAGGTTATACAGTAGAATTTGAATTTCAAATAAATGTCAAAATCAGAAAATAGGCCTATAATCTTTCACAGCCAGTTATGAAGAGAATGGACCTTTCGTTTCTGAAGCATTTTGTCATATGAAGCACAGACCTTAATTTTCAAATGCCTTGTCACCAGAAACTATGAACAATTCTCATTAAAAGACTCTTGAGGAGTACTGGGATGGTGGCAGGACATGGCGGTGTGGAAGAGCAGGCCTGGATCAGCAGTGCTCACTGGCCGGGGCGTCCTGTCCAACTCACCCTGACTACCAGGGATGTGCAGTTGCCTAGAAGTCTCAGAAAATCAAACACTGCATGTTCTCACTCATAGGTGTGTGTTGAACAATGAGAACACTTGGCACAGGGAGGGGAGCATCACACACTGGGGTCAGTTGGGGGTTAGGGGAGGACAGCGGGGGCTGGGGAAGGTGCAGAGGGATAACATGGGGAGAAATGTCAGTTATAGATGAATTGGGGGTGGAGGCAGCAAACCACCTTGACATTTATGTACCTATGCAACAACCCTGCATGATCTGCACATGTACCCCAGAACCTAAAGTACAATTAAAAAAAAAAAAGCTTCCCAACCAGAAAATGAGCATTGATTTCTGAATTCTTAAACGCTAACTTGAAGTACGTGATGCCCACTCTGCTCTGCCCAGGTGTTTTCTTGCCACTGTGTCAGTGTTTCATGCTGGTGCTTTCTTTGTGTGAAGGAAGATGCAGGGGCTGGTCATGAGGGAGCACGAGGTGAGCAGGAAGGGAGAAAGGAAGGCCTGAGGCTTTGTCCTCAGTTACTTCCAGCCAGCACGGCCTCTGCAGAGAAGGAAAGCTCTGGGCCTTGGTTTCTTCTTCTAGTGAATGCACTCTGATCTAACTCATCTCTCAGTTTCCTCTAAGTGTAAATGGTACATTTCTTTTGAAATATAAATAATTGTTTGATTAGCCCTGAGAGTTTTCCATCCTTCTGTCTTCCCTTCTTCCTTCCTTCCTTCCCTCCCTCCCTTCATTAATTTGTATTTTTATTTTAATTGACACATAATTGTACATATGTATGGGGTACAGTGAGATGTCTTGGTACCTATACATTGTGTAATGATTAAATCAGGGTAGCTAGCATTTCTGTCATCTCATACATTCATCTGTTCTTTGTAGTGAAAACATTCAAAATCCTTTCTTCTAGATATTTTGAAATGATACCATGCAGTATTGTTAACTATAATCACCCTTCTGCCTAGCAGTACACCAGAACTTATTTTTCCTGTCTGTGGCCCTGTACCTGTTAACCAATCTCTCCCTACCACACTTCCCTCTTGCAGCCTCTGCTGTCCACATTCTACTCTTTACTTCTGTGAGATCACCTTCTTTGGCTCCTGCATGAGTGGTATCATGTGATTTTTGTCTTTCTGTGCCTGGCTCACTTCATTTATAATGTTTTATAGATTCATCCATGTTGCTGTAAATGACAATTTCATTCTTTTTTCTGGCTGAATAGTATTCCATTGTGTATTTATACTATGTTTTCCTTATTTACTTATCTGTTGGTAGATACTTGGGTCGATTCCGTATCTTGGCTATTGTGAGTCGTGCTGCAATAAATATGGGAGTGCAGATATATCTTTGATATACTGCTTTCATTTCTTTTGGGTGCATACTCTGTAGTGGGACTGCTGGATCATATAGTCCTATTTTTATTTTTTTGAGGAAGCTCCAGACTGTTTTCCATAGAGGCTGTACTAATTTGCATTCCCACCAACAGTGTATAAGCATTCTTCTTCCTCTGCATCCTTGCCAGCAAGGATTTTTTTTTTTTTTTTGTAGTAGCCATTCTAACCAGGGTGAGGTAATGTTTCATTGTGGTTTTGATTTGCATCTCCCTGATGATTTGTGATATTGAACAGTTTTTCATATAGCAGTTGGCCATTTGTATGTCTATTCGGATTTTTTACCTGTTTTTAAATTGTAATATTTATGGTTTTTTGCTATTGAGTTGTTTGAGCTTTTTAGATATTCTGAATATTAACTCCTTGTCAGATGTACAATTTGCAGATATTTTTTGTCATTCTGTAGGTATTCCAGAGAGCTGTCCTTTGTTAGGTATGATAGTGGCTGTGACAGAAGCAAAGCCCAAGGCAGAAAGGCAAAGGAGGCTTTTCATCTCCTTCTGTTTGCCTCTCCTATTTTTTTAAAAAAGTGATTTCTTATAACAGTGGTCACAGACGTAGATTGTAGTCTAAGTGATAAAATCTCCCCCTCACCCCAGATGTTACTATGTTAACATCTCCGTCTCATCTAGAGATTAGTTTTTTTCCCCAGGTCATCCTCTGGAGCACAGCCCAGGTCTGAGAATTCAAAGCCTCTCAGGATAAAAAGTGGCCATTTCAATCCTCTTACACTAAAACCAGACACCTTATTCCCTAGTTATTCCCTAGGTCTTTAACCAGCTTCATTGAAACTACTTAATATTCAGTTCTCATGAACTTAATTGTTTTGCTTCTCAGCTAGCTTACACCAGCATGAAAGTCTAGACTCAGAGAGGATGGAGGAGCTGTGAGTACTATTATAATAACATCAGTAGAGGATCTGCTGACCAACCAAAAACAAAGGGGCAAAAAAGAAAAACACTAAACAACGATGATCGCACAGAATGCAGCAGGTTTTTCTAAAGGATTGCCATGGTCATTGAAAAAAGCTTAAAATATGTTTATATTCTCTGTTTAATAGTACAGTAACATTTAAGTGGATTTCTGCTAGCGGTTCCCAAACCGTAGCTGGCATGAGAATCCCCCTGAGGTGTTGTTAGGGCACAGACTGCTGGGCCCTGCCCCAGAGTTCCTATTTTTTGGGTCTAGGGTAGGGCTTGAGAATCTAGCATCTTCTCTGGTGATACTGATGTCACTGGTCTTGGGACTGTACTTTGAGAACTACCGTTGTATGTAAAATTATTTGAAGTGTTATTTCAAATAATAAGTTGAAATTTCCTGGGAAAAATAACTTGTATGTAAAATGTAGTCTTTACTCCGTAATTATTTTTAAAGTATTTTCATTTTGTATTATATTTCTTTTTTTCTTTTTTTTTTTTTCCTTTTAGTTGCATTTATTTTAAGGCTGAATTTACTCCTGTGCCATAAGTTTTTGTTTCTTCAGTTTCTTCTGGGATATCTTCTTCTTCTGGGCAACCTCCTCTTCTGGTTTAGGAACAATCTGTTCCTTTTCAGTAAGGATCATGAGTTCTGTAGGTCCGGTGGCGCATCTTGGGTGCTTTGTTCACTTGGATATGCTCAATGACCAGAGAATCTACATCTAAACCCTTAAGTTCAGCATTACTCTCTGCATTTTTAAGCATGTGCAGCAAAAATTCAGCACTCTTTTTGGGCCACCGACCTTGTGTCCAGCCCCACTGCTTGGCCTGGGCACACCTGCCAACTCCACCATTGTAACGTCGGAATGGTACGCACTGTTTCTGTAAAGTGACATCTTTCAGATACTTCGTGGCTTTTCGTATATGGATACCCTTGATGGCCTGGGCAGTGTCACGTGTGTTCTTAAAGTGAACACGAAGATTGGAACCTCTTGATTTGCATGACTTTGTGGGGTTCTCCGGATCAAGTTAATAGTGAACCATTTTCACAGATTACCTCAGGCCGCTTAGGGAAAGAGGAAGAACGGTGCCTTCTGGGAAAACTCATGAGAACTTGACTTGTCGCGAGATTTGTGGCGGAAAAAACCAGCTTTGTATTATATTTCTTATGGCCCCCCCACCTCCTCTGGTATTACTTGAGAACTTATGGTCATGGGATTCTTTGCTTTTAAATAATTCTCTGTGTCATTTCCCCACTATGGGAGTCTGCTCTGAGTTTCCTCAATGTGGAGAGACTGTAAATATCTATGATTTTTCCATTTTCGAATTTTCTTCTATTTTCATATTTCCTCATTTTAAATTTTAGTTTGCTTCCTTTTTACTGTTTGAACCCCAAGGATAATTTTACTGTTTTTAGATTTTTAATGCTGTTTTCTTTGAGCAGTGGTCATAGTATTCAAACACACATGGACAGACATGCACACACACAGTATGACATGCAAAAGGTTAGAAGGTCGTATGGTAAAACAGAAATTTCTTTCCCTGTTGTTTCCTATACACATCATTCTCTTCCTTGGAAACACCTACAACTATCAATTTCTTGATATATACTCAATTCAGTATTATTCACAGATTCTGTATTTGTGAATTTGCCTGCTCTCTAAAAATCTGTTTATAACCTCAAAATCAGCACTTGATGTGCTTTCATGGACATTTGCAGAGATGTGTACAACAGGGGGAATAAATCTGAGTTGCCTGATTCACACGCTTCCAGCTGAGGTTGAGCATGAGCATGATGTTCTGGCATGTTCAGCTCTCACACCGTAAACACATATCCTTTTCATGGTCTATTTAGTGTCACGTTTCATGGCTTTCTGTGCTTTTTGTTGGTGATTTTACTGTTTAAAAATGACCAGACTGGGCCAGGCGCAGTGGCTCATGCCTGTAATCCCAGCACTTTGGGAGGCTGAAGCAGGTGGATCATAGGTCAGGAGTTCAAGACTCAGCCTGGCCAAGATGGTGAAACCCCGTCTCTACTAAAAATACAAAAATTATCCAGGTGTGGTGGCAGGCGCCTGTAATTCCAGCTACTTGGGAGACTGAGGCAGTGAATTTCTTGAACCCGGGAGGTGGAGGTTGCGGTGAGCCGAGATTGTGCCATTGCACTCCAGCCTGGGTAACAAGAGCGAAACTCCGTCTCAAAAAAAAAAAATGACCAGACTGGGCCAGGTGCTATGGCTCACACCTGTAATCGCAGCAATTTGGGAGGCCAAGGTGGGTGGATTACCTGAGGCCAGGAGTTCGAGACCAGCCTGGACAACATGGTGAAACCTCATCTCTACTAAGAAAACAAAAAATTGGCCAAGTGTGGTGGTGCACACCTGTAATCCCAGATATTCGGGAAGCTGAGGCACAAGAATCACTTGAACCTGGGAGGCAGAGATTGTAGTGAGCTGAGATCACGCCATTGCTCTCCAGCCTGGGTGATAGAGCGTGACTCTGTCAAATGATATACAGATAGATTAGGTAGATTAGACAGATATACCTGAGCAAAGTGCTGTCTAGTGTCTGTAAGTGCAAGAAGGCTGTGATGTACCTTACAGAGAAAACATGTATGTAAGAGCTTCATTTCGGTATGCATTACAGTGCTATTGGCTGTGACTACAGTGTTAATGAGTCAATAATATGTATTAAATATTTTTAAACAGAAACACAGTAAGACAAGGTTATGTATTGATTAGTTGACAAAAATGTGGCCAAAGGCACACAGGAAACCAACTGTATATTTCCCCTTGGAGCAGTGCTTCACTATTTCCTAATTCAGTGGTCATAGCAACTTGATAGACTGTACTATTGCAGATGAGAAGAATGGACTGCATATGTATTATTTCTTATATACTTCGAAATTTCAACTAAATTATTTCATATGTTGCTAATCCTTACAACAGACCTACACAGATTATAGAGAAGTGGAGGGCTTTTTTTCTTTTTTTTAACCAGGAGAATTTTAGCAGAGAGCACAGTATGATGGGCTGTTTGGGGTTAATGGAACTCTGATATGTAGGCCTGAATTACACTCTTCTAGCAATTTTGACACTATGTTCATGATATGACTTACCATGCGTAGAACAACCTTCTCTGAATTATAAGAGAAAAACTTGTTTGATTGCCATCTTTTCAAAGGACTTGCTAAATGAACTTCTTTCAGTGCTGTGCTTAGTTTTTCAAGTACTTCATCACTAGATCCACTATGGGAAGAAGATGGAGCTTTGGAAATGTCATTGTGAGTTAATAAATAGTATCTTTTCTTAGCTAAACAGTGATTTGGAAATTTATAACATAAATTTTCATAATGGGTTTATTCCTTTTGATTTGGAAAAACATTCCTTTTAAGGACAAACATATTGTCCAAAACATTGTCTGAAGCAACTTGAGGACATATTGTCCCTGTCCTCAAGTTGCTTAAGATCTGACAGATGGAATAGCGTCCTCACTGGTAAGTTTAGTGAGTGTTTCATGTGCCATGAGTGAGGTTTGTACAGAAGACAGTTGGGAAGAGAGGAGAGATGGCTCAGTTTTCCCCGAGGAGAGCATATACAGAAAGTTATGGTTTGTATAGAGATAAAATGTCTCTGGAATTATAAATTATGTCAATGGGAAGATGTATTTTGATTTAAAAAGAAATTCTATAAAAAACTTACTAGGACTACCTCTATTGAAAAATGCAAGGTAGATTAATATCCATTAGGAGAGGGGAGGCGAGGGCAATAGCAGGGATGGAATAGAACCAGGTAGGAGTCAGGTGAACTTGGTTTAAATCCTGGTGCGCTGCCACTTAAGTACTTTGGGTCAGCTGGCAGGATTTTCACAGATTAATGGATGTCTTTCATAGCGGTGTTGTAAGGATTAAAGAACTAAGAAAGGAAAGACTTCATAGAGAAGATGCTGCTGCTTTACCATTTGTAGTAGAGAAATATTTTGGGCTGTTAGACTCGAACTTGCTAACTGTGAGTGTAAAGACTGACCAAACCTTTGTGTAAGTGCTGCGCTATTGTCAAGAGCCAGGAGTTTACATGTGGTGACTTCATTTAGAAAATCTTATAAATAATCAGTTTATTTAGAATATTTAGGAGAAAAGAATTTTTTAATCTGGAGGCTATTTCTTCTGTAGCACAGTAATGTTTTTAACTGCTTAAAATGGTTTTTAATATGCGGTTTAGAGAGTTGATTTAAAAAAAATTTAATTTTACTTGCCGTAACTATTCTGCTTGCTAAATTGTTTGTGGGTGAAAAATTCATTCTTTTTCATTAGCTGAATATTTTTAATTTTAAAACTGTTATACAAATGTATATAGTAAGATTATTATAAAATTCTTTTAAATGCTGAATATCGTGGATAAGTAATTGTGCCAACATTCCCCAAATATGGAATATGTAGCACTATAGTTCAGTGAATACCATTTGTTAAAAACAAAAATAAATGATTTTGTTGTGACGTTAAAAAGCATGAAGGGTGATTTTGATATTGTGTGTGTGTGTGTGTGTGTGTGTGTGTGTGTGTGAGAGAGAGAGAGAGAGAGAGAGAGAGAGAGAGAGAGAGAGAATATATTGTGCTTTTTCCATTTATTGAGAGGAATTTTTTTCCCTGATACGTTTCGGAAAGCATTCGTACTAATGAATATTGTTAACATGAACTTAGTTTTAACTGATGATATTTTTTAAAAGTAAAAAAATAAAATAGCAAAAGAATGATTGGGAATCACCACAATTCCAAATATGGTGATATCTTTAGATACTTATCCTCAAATTAATTTTGTAGCATCTTTGGTCTCTAGTCATTCTTTTATGTATTCATTTAATTACACATTTTAACCTTTTGACTTATGAAAGCAAAGTGAATTTCTTTTGGAACTAAGTACTATGATTTGGGTCTAAATAAGAAACTTTTAAAAGTTGTATTTTTCCATTTGTTGTTGTGCTTGTCACAAGATGTGTTTCTCATGAGTATAGAAGTTTCCAGTGTGACAGAACACCTTCAAATCTCTCATTCTTGAACATATGGCATTATTAACAGAGAATAGGATTGATAGTCATTTCTCAACTGAATTATAGTGATGAAAAGCTTTTTTTTTTTTTTTTTAACCTCAGCCTCCCGAGTAGCTGAGATTACAGGTGCACACCACTGTGCCCGGCTAATTTTTGTATTTTTAGTACATGCAGGATTTTGCCATGTTGGTCAGGCTAGCCTTGAACTCCTGACCTTCGGTGATCTGCCCACCCTGGCCTCCCAAAGCGCTGGGTTTACAGGCATGAGCCACCCCACTCAGCCAAGATATCTCTTCTTAATGAGGAAGGTGGCATTGTATATTGAGATAATAATTATTTTAGAATTGCTTCCCTCACTACTCTTTTCCCCATTAGACTTAATTTTTTTTAAAAAACATTGTCTGCATAAAAGGTAACTATTGCAAAAGGAGATCAAGGTGTCAAAGGATTTCTTGGGCTCTGATCCATATGCTCTGGCACTGTCTCTCGTAAGGCTTGCCCTCTTTGTGCATCTGCCAAGTCCTTGCATAATTGTCTTGACAAATGGCATACTCATTAATATTGTATTGAGCCTTTGCCAACCCATGGAAGCCATGTGCCCCGGGCAGTGAAGCCCAGTGCCAAGTTCTTACTGATAATTAGAAACCATGCCTTAAATATATTGTTGAGACCAATGATAGATAAGTAAATAGTCATTGGACCTAAAAATGCTTACATTTATCCATGCAAGCCAAGAGCATTTGTGAATGGTAAGGGGCTGCTGGAGTTCTGAGCTGTGGACACTCTCATGTGCGGGAGCGGCAGCTTCCTGCCTTGAGGGCTCCCCTTTTGTCACCTACTTGCTCCAGAATCAATCAGAAAAACATACCCTGATAAGCCATCACAGAAAAGAGGTTATTCACTTCCTCAAGGCTGTTAACGTGGCCAATCTAGAAGCAAGGTCATTGTATGAGGGCCTGCAATGATTTCTAGAAATTAGGCACACCAGATTCTCTGAAAATTAATAATTGAGT